TTTTTTTTAAAAAAGGTCACTATTTTCAATCCTTTCGAACCGATTTAGTGATAAAACGAGCCTCTTGTTAATGAAATTGTGGTGAAATTGCCAAAATTAATCTAAGAACCCGCTAAACTAGAAATTTGCTCAATTTATAGACAGTTTACGAACTGGCGAGAAATTATTTTTAGAGAGCCCAATTGCTCATTGTGAGTGTTGGATTGTTGTGTCGAAAGATTTGGAATACCAGAAAGGTACAAGCGACTTTCAAACGATACGAATATTTAAATTGCTTGAAAGTGCTTCCTGTGAAAGTTGTATATTTTATAGGTTCCTTTGATTACACGGTTATATTTCTGTCTTTCAGTTTTAAGCGAACTATCTTTCGCCGTACAATTTGTTAAATGAAACTTGCTACTGTTAACAATACTCGTGTACACTTGCAACTGGTGGGCAAAACGGGATAACACGACGTTGAACAACACGGAGCCAATTAATCGTGCTATTAGAGAATTGTTCGTACATATAAATATATATTGTCGATTATAATGGTCTGACGTGGAATATGCCGGTCGATAAATAACGTTGATTGTTCGTAACGTGACATACGGTGTAATATATTTCAAATGTCTAGTTAGTTGTAAATCTGTAATCAAATAGTTAAATGATTCTATTCTCATTATCTTTGTTTATTTGTTGATTCACTTAGAATCAGACAGGTGTCTTGTAAAATATTGAAAATGAAAGAAATTTACAAGTATATACAACAAAATATAAATATTACAACAGAAGGGAAAAGTAAAAGTATATCAAATGAATAATTCCTTAACAAACGTTATAAAGTTTATTCAATTTGCATGGCGATTAGTGTCTATACAATTTTAGGTCGCTTTTGAGAAAGTCAGCTTTAAATAACAAAGAACTGCGAGTGGGTCGCACAACAGCATTAAAGTGAATGTGTTTGTGTAGGACAAACAACAATCATTTTCCAATTCGTTTAATGTTAATGATTTGGAAGAGAAACAGCATATCCGCGATAGTTCTACGGTTTTCATATTTAACACTAGAGCTATCAATGTGATCGAAGTTTATAATTCTTGTAGAAATTCCATTAGGCGAGAAATAATGTATTTTTAGGGATTTAAATGATTATTTATAAAATGTACGAACAAAAGTATCTAAATTACTTTTTTTTTTTTACCTTAATGACTCTGATGGAAACTTTAATGCTTTAATCGTCGATAATTGTAACTATATGTGTTAATACTCGTTTCACACTCGCGATTATCGTAACGCACTGAGGGCACGTGATGCAAATCTTAGAAACTTACGTTCGATGTCCTTTTCACAGAAATTGTACATATTTGACACTTGGCATATTCTTTCTACGAATTACTTCATTGAAACGATAGTACTATTTTCTTGCAATATATTCGAAATTACGAAATTCTATCTTCTGTTCCAAGGAAAACAACATTCTTTCCTCGATTCTTTTCATCCGAGAAAAACAGAAGGGGTGAAATCAGGTATTAATTAATACCTAAAAGATTCGAAGAATGAATCTTACAGCGAGGTAGAAACAATGAAAGAAAAGGAAGGGAGGAAAAGAGAAAAAGAAGAAAAAAAAGAAAGGAGATGGGAGAACGCGCGAGAGCAAAGAAATTCATATCCGATGGTGAAAGGGCGATTCGACGGTTTCGCGATGGTTCGTCAGTTCCCGAACCGAATGACAAACGACCGACGCGACGATATTCGATTGTGTCGTACAGGCCGCGGCAGAGGAATAAAGAGTTCCGTTCGGAAATAGTATCGCGATGCGTGGAAAATGAGAGGCAGCAATTGCTCGCCATGCTTCACTTAACGCGACGCAATGGAATTTAATACCCTTTGTAGCGCATGAAGTAGCAAAATGAAATTAAATTCGAACAAAACGCATCGGGTAGGGACGGGGGTTGGCGGCGGGGGTGGAAGGGGAGGGAGGGGGGAGGGGGGAGGGGAACGAAGTCAACCGTCATGTTGTCGCGTTTGTGCGGAAATATACAACAAATGTAATGTAAGCGTTGCAGATGAATGACGCGCGTTTCCCCCCGAACGGCGACACGCGCTACGCGTAAATAATTAAAAAAAAATAAAGAAGCAAAACGAGCAAAAAAAAAGGGAGAGAGAGAGAGAGAAACAGAAACATAAAACGGAAATTTGCCGAAAAGGTTCGTCAGAGGATCTGGAAGGAATTGCGAAGCAGTAAAAAAAACTGACTTTACCAATTTTGTTGAAAAATTATTGTCAATAGGCAATACGAGACAGCCTTCTTCCTTACGTAAAGAACACAGATCCTCGAATTCTTTAACAAAAATTATCGTTTTACATTTTAACAGTTTGCGTTATATCGCGAAATTTGTCTTTCTTCGGTCGTTTTCAACCTACATACGTTGAATTTCTCAGAAATTAAAGGTTTAAACGTAAGTATTAAAAAAAAAAATTCTTCAACCAGCGTGATTCTTCGGTTAAATTTCACTTTAAACAACATAAATTTCAAATATAAAATTGTGAAATTGAAATATAAAAAGTTCAAGGATCTCAGCGTAATTAACATTTATCCGTCAAAATCTTTAGTTAAAAAATTGAAGGAAGACGCGTGTCGTTAGGGAAGATAATCTCTTGAGAAAGTTTTTTCGCAACAGAAGAATATCCGAACGGCTGCTAAAACAAGAGGCAAGTGTCAAAGCCACGGCTAACGATTAAAACCGTATCGTGCCGAGGCATGTTCTCAAAGGACAAATACCCAGAAAGAGAGGACGCTTCGATATAAAACAACTCCACGGAACATGGACGAATCGCAGATGAGGTAAGAAGAAGAAAAAGATGATTATCGTCGGATCGAGGACGGGTTGGTGCTCCAAGTTGGTTCGAGCTCTCGGAGCTTCACGGAAATGCGTTTCTGCGGGGAGCCGAGGTACACGAAGAGGAGGCCTTCGTCACCGAAAGTTCGTCCGTCGGGTGAGCAGGACAGAGAAGTCGGGTGGAGCGAAATTGAAAAAGTCCGCATGGAAGAAGGACGGAGAAGTCGCCAGCAACTCTTGCGGCAGCAGGGAAGTTTGTCCTTTTGTCTCGAGGACCAGACAAGTTTTTGCAATCGCAAGTTTTCTACGGCCGCCTCGCGAAACGAGACTACCACGACGACGACGGCGACGACGACAACGTTTCCTGGCTAAAGTGAAATACTGCGGTTCTAGAGTCAAAGTATTGCGTCGTAATTCCAAGCCGTTTCGAAACGGCGAATATTAAGAAAACGACGAAACGCTTCGACGATCATTCTTGATTTATACGCCGCCCGTTCTAATTCGTCTCGATTTCATACAGCGAAGAACGCAACGACGATGAAAAATTTGATCGATGTATGTTAAGCTGATGTAACTTTGTGAAGAGAGATCGCGCAACGATTTACGTACTTGGTCCTGTTTCAAAGCGTGAAGCCTCTATTTTTACATCATGTAGCGACGAGAAAGCGAGGATACTTTTTTTTTTTCTCGAAAATTCTAAAAATTCGAACGCGTGTCGGAACGTCGAATTTTTCTTTTCTTCCTCCGACTGACTGAATTCTCGATTTTAGTCTTAAGGACTGAAATTTCCTCTTAAAACTTGCTGTGCGATTCTTTTCTCGCCATTTTTCTTGAATTTCGGATGTCACAGTTAAAATATAAAAAAAAATTCAAGAAATCTTTACGTTCAGAGTTTGATGAAATGGTGAAAAGAAATCTTACCGCGAGTTTTAAGGGATCGTTGTAAAGTGAGGACTTCGAATCTTCGAAACGATGGTAGATCTAATTACGAGAAAAATTTTTTTTTATGTCCCTACGCACGTTTGAATTTTGACAATATTCGAGAAAAAGTTCACTTTCCCGCTCGCTATATAAACCATGTAAAATTATCTCCGAAAGGGACAAACTCACGCTTGTCAAAGTAGAAGCTTCACACTTTAAAACGAGAGCAAATGATCTTCTTTTACGATGTTGTATCTGTTTAAATTGTCGACAATTTTTAATTGTTAAAAAATGATTGTAAAAGTACTTCTCGAGGCACTGTTCAACTTGCAGACAATTAATAGATGAACGATCAAAACTTTTAATTTACCATAAGATTCTGGTTGTTTGTATACTTGTTGGATTGTTTAAGAAGAAAAGGTTTATTTCCACAGGTTCTAGCCTGCGGATCTTTGTATAATTTTTTTTAAATACAATTAAAAATATTATTGCAAATTATTATACTAAACGTTAAAACAAACACTCTATTTTCGACATTTTATATATTTTTACCTGATCTATACTCTCTCTCTCTCTCTGTGCATTTTTGCATTCTTAAGTTTCCCATAAACGCGTAAAAATCTAGATAATATAAAGAGGCATCGATAAACAACTTTGCAACAAAAGTAAACAACAGAAATTCATCATAACGTCGAAATGTATAATTTCAATTCCCGTCGAAATGATGGTAAGACAAGAATTTTCGAGACAGAGGCAAATATTTTTCAAGAAGATTCTGCTTCTGCAGAGTCAAGCGAAACGCTAATTAAAACGAGAACTGACGTTCAAGCGAGAACGAGCAACGTCGAAACAACTGCGAAACGCAAAATTTACACTTAAAGTACAGGTTGGCGAAACATTAATCCCCGCGAGGAGGGGAGAGAGAAGTTTTTCAAGTTGGCGCTGAATAATCGGCAACGTAACCAGCAACGGAGAACAGAAGACTTCGTTACAGTTGCAATTAACACGGCGGGATGGGTTCCGCCAGGCTTTTTTCCTGCCGTTAATCCATCTCTCTCTCTCTCTCTCTCTCTCTCTCTGGATGGTCCGTTGAGCGTAAACAGGATTGCGGAATAACACGGTCAGAAATTTCTCAAGAATCTTATTTATTATAGCCCCGCGGGGGATGGCCGAGCGACAGAAGAACAATCGCCAACTAATTCAACCACCTTAATTACCGGCATAAGAACAATAAGATTTAGCGCTCTTTTGTCCAAGCAAAAATGAGAGATTGCCGGCTCGCTTGGGTCAGCGGCTGTGCCGAGCGCCGAGCGTTTCCAAGTAAACGGCCCGTGGACGCATCCTCGGCATCTAGCCGCCATTGTTTCGTCTTGTTCTCCGCTTAAAAAAAAAAAAAAAAAAAAAAAAAAAAATAGAAAGAAAACGGCAGATGCACTTTTTTTTTCTTCTTCGTTTCTTTTCGCGGAGCAACCAGTTTCTTTAGACATATATCTATTTCGGGTTTTTTTCTTTCATGTCCTTGGATCTTTGGATTTTTGGTTTTGTCAAGTTTTACAGATAGTTGAACGAGAGAAAGATATTTTCTAGATATTTTGGAATTCTTTGACATCTTTGGATTTTTGCATTTCTTCTTTTTAATCTAGAGAGCAAGATGATCTTTAAGCCATTTTTGATGCAATTGTATTCTTTTCTTGTTAAAAGTCTCCGACGTTCTAGAATTTTCTCACGTCTTTAGATCTTTAAATTTCTGGTACTGTCACGTTGATTTGTATGTCTTTTTTAGGCAAGTGCATTTTCTCTCAAGAGTTCTTCAAGAGACATTTTTGGCATTCTTCGATATCGCTGGATTTTTGTGTTTCTTTTTTGATCTAGAGAGGAAGATGATCTTTAAGCCATTTTTGATGTAATTGTATTCTTTTCTTGTTAAAAGTCTCCGACGTTCTAGAATTTTCTCACGTCTTTAGATCTTTAAATTTCTGGTACTGTCACGTTGATTTGTATGTCTTTTTTAGGCAAGTGCATTTTCTCTCAAGAGTTCTTCAAGAGACATTTTTGGCATTCTTCGATATCGCTGGATTTTTGTGTTTCTTTTTCGATCTAGAGAGGAAGAAGTCATTTCTGCAATTGTATTCTTTCTCATCATAGGTTTCAAAGATTCTAGCCATTTTAGAATTCTTCGGATCTTTGAATTTCTGTTACGTTTAAAGATAGTTTAAAGAATGAGAGGAAGAGAAAGTTCTTTCAATCATTTTTGCGAGTCTATTTCTTCTCATTGCTACTAAAAACGTTATCAAAATTAAGAATTTTCCAAAGGACAGAATTGATTTTTAAATTTTTGTCATCCCCAGAGATAGGTGAATGAGAGTAAGAGAAAGTTCTTTAAATTATTTCTTATGTAATATCATAGGTTTCAAAGGTTCTAGACATTCTAGAATTCTTTGATATTTTTTTTGGGGGCTTTTGTCACAGTTGAACGAGATGAAGAAAAAAG